TGGATAATTGGCCCTGACATTTTAAAAAATCCATCCCAAAGTACATAAATTCATCAGCTTAAAAAAACATTAGTCCACACAGAAGAATTCGTCCTTGCCACATGTTGGTGCTAGTTTGTTATTTTTTCGAACAACTCTCTCGTGCAATTTTATATATGTTTATTTTGTTTTTAAAATATATTTGCCGCATTTATTAAGTTCCAGAACACAGAAAAGTTTTGCTCGCATTTTCGTATCGGTCCTTGCCAAGATAATTCTTGTAATTCTCTTTCGCTATGTTTGTTTGTGCTTTTCGAGATATTCGCTTCACTAAACATCCACAATTCATTGCCAAACTTTTCATATTAAGTTTTGGTTGTTTAGCGGTTGCAGATCTGAGACTAAATTAATTCTTTAGATAAATTAATTTTGAACAAAAAAGTCAGTCAGTCAAAAAGTCAAACAAGTGAAACCAGATAAATACTCGAAACTAAAGTACGATTGTCTCCAGGATGATGTGGAATGCATGTACATAATTTAAGGAACTATTTATGTAATGCGCTTCAGTAATAATTTGTTTTATGATATTCACCATTGAGCGAATTAAAAAGGTTAGATAAACAAAAAATATATATTTTTTAAATATCTCATGTGCTTTGTCATATTGTCAGGATAAGTTTTCATTCAGGTCAATAATACTTTAACACTAAAATCAAATTTAAAAGGAGATGTCATTGTAATAAATTTGAAAAAAAAAACTTTCTGCTTACTTGTGTTTGTACATAATACGAGGCAACGGAGTTAAGTGAACATTTAATAAATAAGGTATTTGAAAACGGAACGTCGTTAGTATAAATGGAACGTTTATTATTGGCATCGAGCTACCGTGCTAGTGATAAATTATTATCCTTAATTTCAAATGTCAGCACCCGTTGAGCACATATGTATTCGGTCAAGTTAACCCGTTTCCACCGGTCGTCAAGCCGTTCCGATTTGAATTACGTCGAACAGTTTAATTTTAAATATTTACTTTTATTATACCTTATAATTAAATCGAAACTAGAAATTTCATCTCTTATGTAACATTTCTCACTTTAAGCGTAGTGTTGAAAATAAGAAAGGAAAGGAGAATCGCCGAAAGCCCTAAATCTAAAGCAATTTATCTAGTAAATTGCGTTTCATTCGAGATTTCAAAGCTTTGAGCCGAGTTGTGAAGGAAGATCACGTAAAGGTCTTGTCCCACGTAGCTTTTTGCCACTTACAACTTTAAACCAGTTAAAATAGACAGTTTTAATTAGCAATTCGCAAGTACGTGACTCATTACTTAAGAATTTCGTTGATTATTCAATTATTAAGGAACTTGCTGACACGTTCCTCGTTAATCCTCCGGTTTAGTTTTTATTGCCATGACCCATTTTGTTTTTAAATGAAACGGCCAAAATTCTATTACAAAAAACATCTTAAATAACTTAAACTTCACTTAAAGTGAGTGTGGTAATTAGTGAAGCTATTTTTTAACAATGTATCGTATTACAATAAAAAATTAATAACTTAATTTTAATTAATTGTATTTTATAGGACAGTTATGAGCCCAAATGTATGTCTTGTATGTATTGGCGTTTGTCTTTTTCGTTCCGATCGGATCGTGTCCGTTAAATTCGGAGACCGGACCGGAAAAAAAAGGCTTCGGCGTCTAGCCAGTTTATATTTGTAGCTACCGTTGGATATTTTTAGCCGAGCACGTTATTAACTATTAAAATATCCGATACGGAAATTCAACGCTGGGGTGACTAGATTGAGTGGACGGGGAGCTGACAAGGGGATCCCCCGAGCATACTTAATTGGCAGTGGCGTTGCCCGGCAACCATGTACCGTAGACGCTTCTAAAAGCCCACTCAGCCAGCGAAGCCGTTTATTATTATAGCCCACCATTGACGGCAGCAAATCGGTCAGCATGTTTATCGTCTAGATCAGCGTTTTTCAGTCTTAGAAGCTTAAATAAATACATACATACACAATACATACAGTGTCCGACAAAATTGGAGCGACTTTTTATTTTTTATTACTGCACATGGTGTTATATTATAAATCATATTCGAAATAAATATTGGTATGAGCTATCAACAACTTTTACTGAATATTCTTTTAAAAAATAATATTGAACTGAAGTGTCTTTTACTTGACGAAAATCCATTTATCAAAATAAATAAGAACTAAAATTTCAGATTTTCACGAAATTATATATTATGACATGACAATTGTTTCGAAAACACCGTGGCTTTATCAAATGTGATTCCAATGTATTTATACGGCTATTGATATTATGAGAAACTGCCGTAAAAAGGACATATATATATATATATATATATATATATATATATATATATATATATATATATATATATATATATATATATATATATATATATATATATATATATATATATATATATATATATATATATATATATATATATATATATATATATATATATATATATATATATATATATATATATATATATATATTCTCACGTATTGATTCACGGATGGAAAAATGTGATGACACTATATTCCGGGATATCATCCGTTCGCTCGTTGAACTCCGACTGGAATCCTGCATCCGACTGGAATCCTGCAAATCTTGCATCCGACTGGAATCCTGCAGACGTTTCGCCAAAATCTCACTTGGCATCTTCAATGCTCGCGCTCCGAAAACACTTCGAACACTGGGAGGTTATCGGCGGTGCGTGCGGTATTTATATATATATATATATATATATATATATATATATATATATATATATATATATATATATATATATATATATATATATATATATATATATATATATATATATATATATATATATATATATATATATATATGATGACACTATATTCCGGGATATCATCCGTTCGCTCGTTGAACTCCGACTGGAATCCTGCATCCGACTGGAATCCTGCAAATCTTGCATCCGACTGGAATCCTGCAGACGTTTCGCCAAAATCTCACTTGGCATCTTCAATGCTCGCGCTCCGAAAACACTTCGAACACTCAGTGTTCGAAGTGTTTTCGGAGCGCGAGCATTGAAGATGCCAAGTGAGATTTTGGCGAAACGTCTGCAGGATTCCAGTCGGATGCAAGATTTGCAGGATTCCAGTCGGATGCAGGATTCCAGTCGGAGTTCAACGAGCGAACGGATGATATCCCGGAATATAGTGTCATCACATTTTTCCATCCGTGAATCAATACGTGAGAATATATATATATATATATATATATATATATATATATATATATATATATATATATATATATATATATATATATATATATATATATATATATATATATATATATATATATTCCGGGATATCATCATCAAAATCAGATAAACATATAGATGAAGATGTAGAGGGATTTGACGCATTGAAGCAGAGTAGATACTTAAGTTATCAAATTCTATATTTCTCGTTTATTATTCTTTAATATAATATTTTTGCTATTTTTGAAAATAAATAAATAAAAATCTGTTATGCTGTATAGTAAGATGATACTTGTACTATTGCTACAATTTTTTTGTAATTAGTTTTGTATGCGTGGGCTGTAGATTTTCTTATTTAGGAAAAAGTTTCTTTACAAATTTCTGGATATTATTGATTTAAGAGTTGGAAGTATTTTTAATAACATGGCCTAATTGAACCTTTTAAATCCGGTGAATATGCTAGCCATTTTAAAACTAATATTGTCTATGGCAAACCATCGTTTAATTATTTTTGCAGTGTGGCCGTTATCGTGCTGGAATATAAACTTTAAAGGTATTTCCCATTCAGTACATCGCAGCATAGTGAATGATATAAAAATCCATCCATTTTTGTATTAATTTTATAAATAGGCCCATTCCATATGCAGAAATGCAATCCTAAACCATAACTTGTTACCACCGTGCTTTGCAGTACCAGAAACGTGTTTGAGGTCGTCTTACAGGAATGTATTTTTTTTTGCTGGTCTTCTTCCAGGAAGTTCGGCACATTTTCTGGGCCCAATTCTGCTAAAATCTGACTTATAACTGTGGACCGCTTTGACTAATTCTTTTAATGCTGCGATCTTCTTGCTTCGTAGCCCCTTGCTTCAAGTTTATAACCCGTCCGCGCCAAAAATTTTGTATAATTTTTTAAACAATTTGTTTTGTCACCCTAAATTGTTCTTTTGTTTTTTGTGGTATTCCAGCTTTATAGATCAAAATTAGGCTGTACTGAAAAACTTTATCTTCACATAATTAGCGAACAGGAAATAAACCAGTTAAACCATGTTAAGCCCAAAAAATATTGATAAACAAAAACATGTTTCCAAGTTGTTAATAAATCCAGAATTCCATTTATTTCATAAGGTTAGTACAAAAAAAAATTTAAGCAATCTCTCCAATTTTGTTCGATACTGTATAGCTAACTTGTCTAAAAATCTATTACTAAGTTATTTGATTGATATTTCGCATTATTTAAGCAGTTACATACCACTTTTTCTTTAAAAATCGTTTCCCCACACTTACGCTAACGGCTAAGTTAATACGGAATGGCATTTCATCTGAAATTATGTTTTTTTATTTTAGTAGTAATATAAAATTCACATTAGTTTTTTATTTAAAGGGATTTATTATATTATTCAAGCTATATTCAGTTCTTTTTGGTTTAGTTAATAGATAATTAATTACGTTTTGAAGTTAGGTGCTCTTGAGAGGTTCAGATCCATCAGCAACAGAACAGCATTTTATCTAATATTATCCGTCTTTTTGAAGATATATTTATTTCTTGTTATAAATATGTACTTAAAACTTGAACAAGCATGAAATATTTTTTTTTATATTTTTCTTATTTGAAAATATAAACATACTTAGGCGGTTGTGCAAATAAGTACCAAGTCAAAAATATCGGCTCTTCCACTGGAGAAACGGGAATATTCATGTCAGCTTTTATGATGTGTTGTATGTATAGGGTATAAATTAATTCTTTTGTTTCAGCCAAAAAACAGAATGGATCGGCGTTTCGAACGAACAGTTTAGGCAGCGGGACCAGAACGCCACCTGGCGAACGCAAGAGCAAATTCTCGATAGGAAAATTATTTCGGCCTTGGAAGTGGAAACGAAAACGAAAATCGGATAAATTAGAAGCCGTATCTAGAAGTAAGTCGATATGTTTTATGCAATAGGCGAATTGTTATTTTAAAAGTCATGTTGATCTATAAAGTCATGTTGATCTATAGTGCTACCATTAATTTAGTAAATTTTCATCTACCCATGCAGCAGTTTTGTAGATATATTGACACCGATAATTGTTACACTATTAAGTGTTGAACAAAAAATTACATTAACCAAATCTAAAGACCACGCTCCAAAATAAACCGTTTAAACGCCCTAGTCGACATAGAAGTAATATTTTCACGAAAATCATTTATGATTTTTGCTAAAGTATCAAGGAAGTGCCGTTCTTATAGGGCAGTTCTATAGATTATAATAATAATTTCAAAAAACTAACCAAAACACATGGATAGAATTAAGACGTAAAATAAATCGTGAGTATATTGTTTACGGTTTTCAGTCACGTAAAATTCTACTCGCTATTAATAAATAATGGAGCAAGGTCAAAACAAACGGCAATATTAAATCTGGGAAATATTAAATTTTTTCGCAGTTTTCCAGAAACATCATCGAGCGGAAGCGTTTCAAACACTTTCTAGAATTGATTTATTTCAGAAGCGTTTATGTCAAATTGAAATTTAATGATTAAATATTCCGGGCATATTTTTTTACAATTTCGCTGAAGTTTCGATTTTTAGTTCCTTACTTAACTGTTTACTAACCTAGATAATATGGATTTACATTTTTCAATGTTTTCTTTTTCAGCATTAGAAAGAAAAATATCAGTCCGAGCCAATAGAGACGAACTCGTTTTAAAAGGAATACTTTTGCCCGAAAGCCCTTTGTCACCACCGAAATCCGAGCCAGGTTAGTATTTTTGTTAATGTCATTTGACGGGTTCAATGCATAAACCATTCAATTAATTAAATTTATTAAATTAAAATAATTAAAAATAATTATGCACATTTTAAAATTACGAACTTTCTAATACAACATTTCTGTTTTTTTATTTGGTTGCCTGTATTTCAGTATAAACCGGCAAGTTGTTGTTTGTAAATGACTCGGTTATGCATAGTATTGCCTCATGATTTGTTAAAACTCACAGTTTGATCGCGTGTTATCAGGCCGTTTTGTCTAAAAGTTTCTGGAAATGTGAGTATTGATCGGCAACTGGCGCCATCTCTCCGCGGGCGACGTAACTCAATGTCCCTATATCTTTTCAATATCCCCGCCTTTGTTAAATACGTTTTGTTGCCGCTAAAGTCTTTTTGCTAGATGGCGCAAAGGGCAAAATTGCTTTTTCCTTTAACAATGTTGACAAGTTTCTGAATCAAAATCAATTTCACGGGATCGAGATTTTAAGCAGCTCGTTCACATTCCTCGATAAACTTGACTCCGTGTTTTGCTCTACGTAAATAAATTAAATGCGGGTGGTCGTCGCACTTGAAAGACGATGGCCTGCAGCATCTGAAATCACCCTTGGGAATTGGTGCAATCTGCTTAAGAGTCTGCATTCATCAAATTTAGTAGACGGGAGTTTGGTTTGTGTTACAGGCGCTTGAAGGATGATTTATTCATTTAAGATGCCTGCCACGTTTTTTAAAAGTATTTTAAATATTTCTTCTTATACGCCACTTTATCTCTGTAGTTGGTTAATTTTCTGTAATTTAAGTACTCTGGGAACTTTTTTTAAACCGATTTTTCGTCTTTGTTCGAAGGTTGAGTTTAAAATGCCTTTTTTAAACCTTGCGTTACGCGTTTTAAAAATTATGGGTTGATTTGTTTTGAAAAATGATTGTGGATTTGTTATTTCACAAAAACTGGAATAAAAAACTACTTATACAGTGCCAGCAAGAATGTTCGCTTCAAATAAGTTATTTTTATTATATTTATTAACCACTAATCTATTGAAAATATATTTTTATGTCGGGCACGTGACCAATGTCATGACAGGTGACCGGTTTGAAGAATTCGAGAAGGCGTTAAATATTTTGCCGCAATTCACAGTTACCAGCAAATATTGTTGCTGCGTTCAGCAAAGGAAGGATATACAGCATAAACATCAGAGAAACTAAACATATCTCTTAAAGTTCATTCCGAAAGTGGGATTACATTAAAAAAGAATTTAGTACGAAACCTAGGACGAAAACAACATGGGCTATCGCATAAAACAAATTCTCCAAAAGACATTCAGTTTCATACTATCAGTTCATTATCTATCTATCTCTACATTCATCATTGTAGCTAAATACATATATATATTTTGACTCAACATTTCTTTTTATAAAACTGTCTTCAATTACAGGTACAAGAGAATTGTTTGCATATAATTCAGCATTTTATTTTTTTGACGGCTATTTCATAGAATATTATAATGCAATACAATATTTGGAAGAAGGCGATTTTATAAGCTTGATGATAATGCAAAAATTTTCTTCAAAGACGACAACAAAAATTGAATAAAATCACTGGCACTGGTCTCTTATTAGGGGATTAGTGTTATTGGTTGTAAAATCTCAGGATTACCCCTCTGATGACATTTTTTTATAAATAAATAGTTTAAATTTTCTGCAATTGCTTTATTTAAGGGAGCATGTTTTATGTTTAAAAAGGTGATTAATACAAACGTAAGTCTTTATAATTGTAATTTCTAATTCGGTGTACACATTTCAACACCACTTAACCAACTTAATTAAAAATGATCACTATAAAACGCATTTTTAGAATTTTGTGCAGAAAACTGTTTCGAATTTTAATGTGCACAGTTGAATCGATTAGGAAAATATCCATAATCTAAAATCCAGTAACGAACAATTAGCGTATATATTAACCAAATCAAATTTGTTCACTGATGTGTGCGGAACTTTGGCAAACATGAATTACGGTGGCACTAACGTTTACGTTACATTTGATATTAATAGTTAAATGACGTAATTAATGTAGTGTTAGGAAAATTAGATAAAACACTCGATAAAATTTGACGAGGCGACCAACACAATTTATGCCATAGAGACGAAATGCGGCATTAAATTTGTCGAGAATAAGTGCACTTCATTAAAATTTTATGATAATCGTGGAGCCGAATGTCGTTTTCCATTTAGATTTCATATTATTTGTTTTAATGGATTCAGATTTATAAATGCGGCTTTCATGGGTTTTGTATTTGCTACTTTGTCAGGGGAACTAACCAAAAGTAGCAGTCAATGAATTAGTTATAAATTAGGAAGTGTCACTCTCCGTCGATGCTTAATTTCGTTTTCGCTTACTCTTGATAGCTTTATATATTATAATTTAGATAATATAATGTGTTAATAGTTCTTTAAATAGAAATTAACAAAAAAGAAAGAATATCTCAAACAAAACTATCGTGATGTTTCATAATTGAAAATGAAGGAATAATTTAATAACTTGTATTTTACTAGATTTAAATTTTCACCGTTTAAATTTAAACGAATATTTATTGCGAGAAGTAAATCGAAGAGAGAAAAGTGTACCGAGTAATTCTCTTTAAAGTTTCTTATAATTCCTTTTGAAGTGGTTGGAACTGCTTGGATTGCCTAGGAATTCCCTCGTAATTCTTCACAAAATTCCCTGGGACCATGATGGAGATAGTATTTGACTTTTTTTTTTCTGTTATTGGATTTTTTAGGTTATATTTTTTACTTTTTCTATTTATTGCTATGTAAAAAATTCGCCAGCAATGCTTGAGTAGCTTATAAACCGCTGTAATTGCAGTAACCAACACAAGTATTATATTTGGATACTACTATACATTCTTGCATCTGAGACGATGCCTTCCTATTATATATATTCTTATATTCAGTGGCAGTGTTGCAGAGGGTTTTTTGGTACATACAGAAATATATATATATGTATATATATATATATATATATATATATATATATATATATATATATATATATATATATATATATATATATATATATATATATATATATATATATATATATATATATATATATATATATATATATATATATATATATATATATATATATATATATATATATATATATATATATATATATTATATATATATATATATATATATATATATATATATAAT